TCCCAACAGTATTAAATATATTATGATTTATTTTTTTGCGAATTTTAAATGATATGACAAAGTTTGATTATTAAGACGTTTAAAAAAATAAAATCTTAACCTCATTATTTTAATTTATAAATTCGCAAAGTACGAAGTAAAATAAAAAATAAACTTTTTTGAAGCTTTATACGAGATTTTGTAGTAATATAAATACATTGAGAATAAATGTATTTATTATGCTATATATAAATTTTCTTGTTTTTATTCATTACAGGCCATCTTTTGATTTTCTAAACCCGAGCTTATCATCTTAAAGTTTTTTTCTCAGTACCTATTTTAATCTCCAAATAAAAATCGGAGCTTCGGCGACGTATGATAGTTAAGCTTTCCAGTGTCTTTTTGAGAACTTTTGTTTGTATATAGGTCCCGGTTAAATACATTTAAAAAAGTAAATTTTTTACATTTTTAGAATAATATGCTAAAAAATATTTTTAATTTGCCTTACATATTAAGATTTACCGTGTAAATACAAAATTTCATTTTTTTCTTAACGTCATGTAAGCATTTTGTTTCTTTAAATAATTAAATTTTAACATTTTGTAGTAGAATTAAAAGCCTAATAACGTTAAAAATATTAAATTTTTTAATGATTGGTACAAAAAAATATAATAAATCAATTTTTGTTCGAGCTAGTATAAAGATTGCTATTGTATGGAACATGTAGTTTATGTATAAAAAATGTAAGCGTTTGAGCAAATGAAAATATAACTTAATCGTGTTAATTTTAATATTTAAAATTTTAAAATTGTAAAAATGTTAATGCAAAATGGCCAGATTAAAAAAAGCCTTGAATTTGGAAATCTATGTATGCTTTTTTAAAAAAATCTATTTGTTTATAAAGGCATCAATTCTTTGTAAAGTTATGAGACATAGTTACTTTAGTTTTATTGACTTTATGTGCTAAAAATTAGCAAATATTATCAAACAATATTAAAAATTTTTATAAATAGTGGCAGATAAAAAGAATGTTAATTTATATTAGAAAAAATAATGGAAAGTTGCAATATTAAAACAATATTAATTTCTTTATATTCCTAAAAAGTTGTTTTTTAAAAAAATTGAAACGTTTTTAGAAAATGTGCTTGTACTAATACAACACACCAATTGTTTAAAAGCGAATTTTTATTTGTAAAGCTATTCTTTTGTTCTAAAGGTTTCTGCTTGCTATACTTTTCATGTGTAAAAACAATATAAAAAAATTTAAAATCCGTTTTGTTGAAAACTACACAACAACTCTAGTGTAAATTTTTAAACTTTTGCATCTTCATTGATTATTTTTTTCAAAAATAATTTTTCGTGTCTACCTGGGAAACCCCCTATGCCTAGTAGAACAAATTATTAATACTTTCAATTTTTTTTGACCATTTCTCTAATAAAAAGCCTGGTAATATTTTTTAAAAGAAATCTAAAAGTTTTTATATTTTTTTTATAAATGTTGTAAATAAACAAACAACAAACTTGTTGGTTAAAAAAATAACAAACTTTTACGCTTAGCAAAACTTTTCTTTGCAACTCATGAGCAGTTATTTTTTGATTCGTCAAAAAATATACACTTATATGAAATGGAGCCACCGGGAATCGAACCCGGGCACACTGCATGCAAAGCAGCCGCTCTACCCCTGAGCTATGGCCCCTAAGTAACGTTTTTATCAAAGTTTATAATATACTACAGAAAGATTTTTTTATTCAAATTTTACATCCCTATGTCAAGAATTTTAACATCAGAAGAATCATTTGTTGTAGATAAATTTTCTTCAGTAAAAATAAAAAATGTTGAGGATGTTAAACAAGTAAATTTAGTAACAAAAAAGAATAAATTTTTTGTCGAATCTCCTGTAGTGTATGAAATTGAAAATACAGATTCATTTTTAATTTTGGGAGAGCCTAAGCAGGTCATTGATATCAACTACCTAAAAAGGTTGTACGTTGAACAGCTTAAAAGTAGTAAAAAATAAATTATATTAAAAGCATTTGTTTTATAAGTTTACAGCGCGCAGAAAAAGCATTTTACTTTGTTTTTATAACACTATCTTATTTATGCATTTTATAAAACCTATTACTATCACTTTCTAAATTATTTTACAAACTATGATTTTTTATAAACAATTCTTAAATTTCCGTTGTAAGAGCTTTATGTCATGGCATTATTGGCATATCTTATTTAAATAGTTCCAATTAACAGATATATTTCCATTACAATTTTTATTTAAATATCCTATGAAAAGTTAACAAATCATATTTAAATAGTTTAATTAAAAAGTATAATTTACTTAGATAGTATATTATCAACACTCTTATTGTATCTAACTCTTAACTAATATTCAATACTATTTTATCCATAAAAACATATAAATTACTTCTTTATAACATAAATTTTATATTTATCATCTTCAACATTATTTAGATAATTTGACCAGACATTATCTGTAATATTATATTTCCATTTAACATCTAAATTAAAAATATAATTAAATATACAATCTTTATCAATATCTTTTATATCATTAAAATTATCCGTATGTTTGCTATACAACTCTAACTTATAATTTATGCCATTAATATTAACTTCGTCACTTACACTTATATTGATATATTTGACAGGGATGTTGATTACAGTGTCATTAATAACACCTTGAAAAAAATTTTTAAAAATTATTGCCATCTCATTTTTATAACATCTCACATAAAATTCATCTTTTAATAAATCTTTTTCTTGACACGTAAAATAGTAAAACCACATTCCTTGGTCATAACAATCTGTAAAAATACATGAAATGGGATCAAACCCATTTGCATAATGAAGATAAGTATAATTTGTAACATCCTTAGGAATAAATGTAAAATCACCATATAGATTATTAATATAATTCCAGCAATGTAAATTTCTTTTATCTGCTTTAATTAATATATTAAGTAAATCTTTTTCTTCTATTTTATATCTAAATTTCTTTAAAATATATAACCTATGGAACCATGACTCATATGATTTTGGATTAAATCCTATAGAAGATACCGTACATTTCAATTGTTCATCTTTATTATCAATATTTAATTTTTGTTTTAAATAACTCCATGCTTTGTAATCTTCTGTACAATATTTTACTTTTTGCAAATATTTGTTATACAAATCATCCATCTTTTCTATTTCTTTTAATTTTTCCAATATTTCTTTATCTTCTACATATTCTCCTTCCTTAATGTTATGTACAATCATTGGGGGATTTTATTTTGATACTTTAAATTTTTTTTTCTTTACCCCCCAAAATGCAAATATTTGTAAAAACGCTAACAGGAAAAACTATTACTTTAGACGTAGAGTCTAATGACTCCATTGAAAATGTAAAAGCTAAAATTCAAGACAAAGAAGGAATACCACCAGATCAACAGAGATTGATTTTTGCTGGTAAACAGCTTGAAGATGGTAGGACACTTAGTGATTACAATATACAGAAAGAAAGTACTTTACATCTAGTTTTAAGATTAAGAGGAGGAAATAAGAAGAAAAAGGCATTTAAGACACCGAAAGTAGTTAAACCAGTGGTTGTAAAGGAGAAAATGGGATGGCTTAGGAACTTTAGAATTGGTAGTGATGGAACTGTACAAGTTATTGGAAAAATGTGTGATGCTTGTGGAGATGGTTCATTTATGGCTAATAGGAAATGCTTCTTTAAATGTGGAAAATGTGGTACAATTGAAACGAAACAGGGATTAACTGCATAATAAAAGAACTTTTATTGAAAAAAGTTATATTTTTTGTGTAAATTTAATATATCACTTATATTGATTTGAATGAATTTTACTTTTTTTATTGCCGATTGTTTAATTAATGATTGCCTTTTGTAAAAATGACTTTGTAAATAAACTTATTTATTGAAGTAGTGATACTTAAATATATAAAAAGGATTTAATAACCAATTAAATAGACTTTTATATATTGATTGGTTTAATTTAACTAAAAATTAATTAAACAAATCTATAATGCAAAATAGACACACAAAAAAACATCTAGACGCAAAATGAAAATAAAATGACATAGTATCAAATTCCCAGTAAGTAACAGTAAAAGTGCACAATAAACTGAATAAATTGATATAAAAGTAACTTTTTGGTCTTTTAACCAGTTTTCTACAATAAACAAAATAAAATATAAATGGAATAGCGGTCTCAAAATATGACGGTGTATCAGTAAACACGTAAGCTACAGAATAATCAATTTTTTCTAGATCTTTTAGGCCACTTAAAAGATTAATTAGTGGATAAATGCATATATCATCAATATTCAGATATGGTAAAATCAGTAAAATTAAATTCATTTTTGGCTTGTAAATTAAAAATGCTAAAACCTTGTTTTCTGGATATAATGAAATGATTTCTCTGGTGGAAGAACTTATAAAAAATGGGAAAAAATCTTTTATAACACTAATACACAATAAAATGTAAAATTTTAAGTTTTTTCTTTGTAAAATTAAGAGATAAACAATCAGACATGTATAGAAGCTAATATTAGATAAAATGTCAGTTTTATCATGTAGCCAAATCATATTTACTAAAATTATATTATTTAAACCAGTATTGCAAAATAGAAAAGTTAATATCCAAACTAATGATTCGTTTTTAATTGCTCCGACGGAATGTGACACAATAATTATAGCAGAAAATATTGTAAACCAGCGCATATCAAAATTTCGCCATATATTTTGCAACTTTACGTTTTTAATATTTTGTAAAAATTTAAATATCAATTTTTTTAAAAGGACAAGCGATATAACAAAGCTTATAATTAAATACATCTGATGTTGTCCAGAGAAATAATTATATATTTCTTCTGATAATTTGTAATGTGCCATGTACAAATCATCTTTCTTCGTAAAGTTAAACGCTTTTCTGCCGACCATTAAACATTTTTGTTCATAAAATTTTTGTAAAAAATCACTATCGTCGACAAGTTCGTGTATAACATTACCATGTACATTTTGAGGTACACAAACACCTAATAAATAACACACTGTGGGAAGAATATCATCTTGATGCACTATATAAGGTCTTTGAAAACCTTTATTTTTTATAAAAAAGTTATTTTCAAGGTCATATCGCTTTCCTAGAAAATTTTTTCTAATTTTTTTCAATTTATTATCAACATTAAAGATTTGCATCGGTTTTTTGGAAATGAAAGAAACAAATGACGACATTTCATGTGTGCTAACACCCCCATGTTCACCTTCATCAGTAACACCATGATCGCTTGTTAGTACTAGTAATGTATTATCTCCCATTTTAGTGAAAACATCATTAATCATATTATCAAATCTCTCTAAAGAATCCTTTAATTCTGGATGAGAAGTTGTTCGATGTATGTGACCAAGAGAATCAAGTGAAATTAAATGACATAAAATAGCTTTATCAATATTTACTCGTTTTTTTAAAGCCGTGATTGCATTTTCTTCATTAATAATTAAATCTTTTTTTGAATAAGGATCTATTGCGTAAGTGTGGCATTTTTTTAATATTGGACATAAATTTAGCCAGGTAGCATCACCAAAAAAAGACACACTACCTTTATATTTGTCATACATCTGATTAACCATGTTATCAATATCTAAAGAAGATTTTAAAAAGGTCTTCATACCTTCTAAAAAATTAGAAGGTGTTCCAGTAAGCAACCCGGTAACTCTACACGTTGTTGATGTAGGGATTCCACACACGCTCAATGCTTCAAATTTGTCTTTTATACTGTTGTATTTTGACATTTTATTGTGTAAAAAATGAGAGCTATTTTTTGCTCTATCTTGTATGTAGTCATATCTCAAGGCATCAAGCACGATATAAATAACTGAATCATATTTTGGTTTAGATTTCATAGTAGAAATGTTTGTGTCGAACTTTACACGCTTAAAAATGCCGTTTAGAAAAAAATATATATTTAAAAGTATCAAACATTTTGTAAACATTAAGGGTAAAAGATATTATTTATAAACAATCAAAGAAATAAACAATAAATTGCAAAAATTTACTTATAAAATTCATTTTCAAAAAAATCTTCATTTTATTAATTTAATAGAACCTTCTAGCATAAAAATTTATTTTTCCTGCGTTAAATAATTTTTTACCTTTTTCAATCACAGAAATTTTATCTCGAATGCCCCAATCTTTTGAATCTTCGGATTGTTCAATATTCGATTGTAACGTTGTAAACAATGCATTCAAATCCTTGTATTTCTTTTCTTTATAGCTTATATTAATATTCCGATTAGTAGTAATAGTAATATTTCGCGATACATCATTGTTGTTAGATAAATATTTTTTTTTATTTTGTATATTAAATTTGTCAGATAGTTTTATTAATGGTGTTGTTGGAGCATTATTTGATTTATTCGAATAAGAATTTTCAATCTTTTTAGTCTTCCAAATGTTATCTTTTAAATTAAATTTTTGTCCTTTTGACTTTTCATTAAAATTGAGTTTTAAGGGTTGTTGAGACTTTTTATAAGAAGATTGTGGACTAGGTGTAGATTGTTCATTCCTAATAGTAGAGATATTAAGCGATGAAATTTTATCCTCTACGTCTTTTTTTTGTTTTTCAAAAATATTAAACTCAGTAGCAGCTTTTTGTTCTTGTTTAATTTCTTTAAAAACATTTTTAGATGGTTCAATTTTCAAACTTGATTGTAAAACCTTTTCCTCTTTTTTATTTTTGTAACTTTCTTCTTCTTTATTACCTTCCAATGTTTTAGCTTCTTCTGCTACTGTAACATTCCTAAAAATTTTCGAATTAGCAGTAATAGGCTGATGTAACGATTTTAAATTGTCAATATTAGGCTGTTTAGGTTCAATATTAACAGTAACTTTTGGTTTTTCATCACTAGTATTTTCTGTTTTTTGTGCATCACTTTCAATGTTGATAATAACTTTTGGTTTTTCATCACTAAAATTTTCAGTCTTTTGTGCTTTATCTTCAGTGTCTTTATTTATGCTTATATTTTTTTTTATATTAGACTTATAAATTTCAGAATTTTTTTGTAGTTGTTCTTCTGTATTTTCATTTTTTATTTCATCATTTATTTCTTTACATGCACAATCAGAATATGTTCCATTATTACCTGGTGCATTTAATATGGTGTTTTTGTACTTAATATATTCTTCATCTGACACTTTTGTTATTGATGTAATATATGACAAATTAATAGATAAAGTTAAATAGACAATAGACTCTGGTTGTTTATAAAAGGCATTTCTCATTATAATCACATCCTTATTACGCCATATCAATTCTGCAAATATAACAGTTTCTTGTGATTTAAGACAAATTTTGATGATAAATTTTTTATTCATAATTTGTTTATAGGGGTTGAATTTGAATTATAATTGCAGAAAAATTTGACACATTGTTTCACATATAATAAAATTAACCTTTATTGTATAAACAGTATTAAATAAGCTTTGTACAGTTATATTCTTTTTTAACGTCTAATTAAATAGTATTTTTTAATCTTGAAAAAAGGTTATTTTTTAAATGCCCTTAATGGCCGAAGATGAAACAATACAAAATATTACACCTTGGGAAGCACAAGTAGTTACTGATAACAAAACAATATCTATTAACTATGAAAAGATAATTACACAATTTGGATGTAAAGAATATCATGAAGAACTAACAAAAAAATTACAAGAAATGACTGGTGTTCCACCGCATTTCTATTTTTTAAGAAATATTGTGTTCGCTCACAGAGATTTTGACATTTTACTAGAAAAGTTAAAATCAAAAAGTTTTTATCTTTACACTGGAAGAGGTCCAAGTAGTAAAAGTATGCATTTAGGACATGTTATACCATTCCAGTTGTGCAAATATTTCCAGGATACATTTAATTGTCCTTTAGTTATACAAATGACAGATGATGAAAAATTTTTATTTAAAGATCAGTCATTTGAAGAATCTACTAAATACTGCGCAGAAAATATTAAGGACATCATAGCATTTGGTTTTAATCCAAAGTTAACATATATTTTTAGTAACGTAGAATCATCGCATTTATTTGAAAAAAATACATTAAAAATTGCTAAATCAATTTCGCTAAATGAAGCATGTAAAATTTTTGGTTTCGATAACAACAGTAATATTGGAATGATTGGATTCCCCGCCAAAGAAATTGCGCCATGCTTTGCTTCTTCCTTTGAATTTTTAAACAAAGGCGCTATGTGTCTTATACCTTGTGCTGTAGATCAAGATCCTTATTTTAGATTAGCTAGAGACAAAGCTAGCGTAATGAAAGAACCCAAGCCCACTACTTTGTACGTTTCACTTTTGCCCGATTTAAAAGGAGTTAATAGGAAGATGTCAGCCAGTGATACTACAAGTTCAATTTTTTTAACCGACACACCGGCTCAAATTGCTAAAAAAATACGAAAATATGCTTTTAGTGGCGGAAAAGAAACATTAGAAGAACATAAAAGACTGGGAGGAGATACTGCAGTAGATATTTCTTATCAATATTTGCGATATTTTTATGATGATAATATTGATCTTGAGAGGATTAAAAATGCATATGAAAAAGGAGAAATGTCGACAGGAGACATTAAAAATAAATGTATTGATGTTCTACAAAAATTTGTTAAAGATTACCAGGAAAGAAGAAATTCTATAACAGAAGAACTCTTTCAAGAATTTTGCAGCAAGTTATAATTAACTAATAAATTTATTTTTTATGTTTATTTACTTGTAAAATAATTTACTTAACACTACAAACCTTATAATATTTTTAAATTTTTTTTCATTCACATTAGTTCATAAATAATTGACGCTTTTAAAAGAAATGATACAATAACAAAAATATACTAATTATAAATTTTTTCTTATAGCACAGTGAACATAATAAACCAATTTTTAAAAAATTCACTTCATTAATATTTAGTTGTACTGGTCAATCTTTAACACTTTTTATAAGATAGTATAGAAAATTAAATTTGATTTTTTATAAAATTTTTTTCTACCCCTTAGTTCTTTTCAATGTATCTAATTGATATTATGTACTCGTTCCAAAGAACAATATTTTTTTAACAGTCATAAATTTACTGTTAAGTACATTTTTTTATAACTTTTGAATAAAAAACTAGCTAGTTATTTAATTAAGAGAATTTATTAATTAGGATTAGTGCCATCTGAAACTTCTATCACCTTAATGTTAAAAAGTTCACTTGGCTTATTTTTTTTATTTTTTTCGTCTTCATCTTTTTTATTTGCTTTAATAATATTTTTAACAATAACATTTACTCTATTTATAGATGGCATAAAAATATCGAGATTTTTAGAGAAATTTTCAAGTTCTTTCATTTCTTTTTCAGTAAAAGAAACTTTTACAGATTTTGATTCAAAATCCTTTAAAAGAAAATCAGAGGTTGGTGTTTTATAGGTAGAATCCAAAGGAGAAAACGTTTCTAATTTAGTAGGAGTTTTTAGGTTGGTTGGAGGTGTGGATTTAGCAGGAATAGATTTTTTAACATCGAAATTAAAAGGATTTAGAGACATTTTTGGCTTATCGAGTTTTGTAACAGCAGAAGATTTGGGCAAAGAAGAATGTTTAGATTTCGATTCTCCTTTTCTTTCTCCTAGTTTATCTTTTTTTAATTTAGAACTACCTTTATTCTTTTTTTCAGAAATTTGTATTAATATTCCATCATCTTCTGAACTAGAACTAGCAAGTTCACCATCCTTAGAAGAAGGATTTATTGTTAAACCTGCTTTTTCAGAAGATGCAGGTTTGGTAATATCTTCTTCATGTATTTTATAAGACTTGGCTTTTATAACCTTCGAGAATAAATATACCGAGATTAATTGTATAAAAAACTTCATGTTTACAAAAAAAATTATGCTTAAATATTTTTTTTTAAAACTTTGTTTTACGATGAAACAAAATTATAAGAGAAACATGTAAGATAAAGTTTTAAATCATAATAGATTTTACAGATATAAAAAATGTTTAAAATTATTTTAAATGTTTTGGTACTGCTTTATAACTATTGATTCTTATTTTTTATAAAACTTAAGATTTAAAAATCTTTAAAAGTTTAGAGCTACAAATAAATTTAATAAAGTTTAAAAATGTTAGGTAAACATAAATAGTTTTAAAAATTAGGATATTTTTTTAAATACAGTCCACTTTTCTTAGTAAATCAAAAAACTTGATTGCATTAAACAATAGACTTTCTATTATTTTTAAATAATTTACAAATAAATTAATTCTTTTTATTGTATACTAGCCTGCACTATCCCGTTTGAAACGGAATTATTAATGCGACATATTCTTATTTTACATTGTGTAACATATCTTTAGGCTTGTGTGCATTGTTTAAAGTACAAACTGTCTTACATTGTAAAGTAAAATTTGCCATGGTTACCATTTTGCAATTACAAAAAAATTAAAAAATCCTAAGAAAATATACAAAACCCCGTAATATCCTTTATGTAATAATTATATACAATTTTTTGGGTTGTATTTTAGTGCTTTTAAAGCAAAAATTAAAACAAAATTTTACAAATTTTTAAAAAAGAAGGGTTGAAAAAAAAATAAATTTTCAGATTCAAACTTTTTATATATATTGGTGATGATGATAGATAGATTATTTGATTGTTAATTGTCTTTATTTTTCAAATTTTGGAAATATCAAAAAATACCTAACAGGCCGACTTTAATCGTAAAAATTATACAAATACTGTCATTACCCCGTCTTTCTGACGCTAGCAAAGGGTTGTAAGAAAGCCTAGATTTCTTAAATAACATTTATTATTTATTATAATTTGTCTATATATTTGAAACATTTTTGGTTTTAAAGTCTTGTTTCGGTATAAGTCTTACTATTTAAAAATTTTTTGCCATTGGTGACAAAAATATCAAAATTTAGAAAATTTGACAACAGCCTTAAAAATAAATTAAATAACTAAATATCAGTTTTAAAAAAAAGATTATATTTTTAAATATGCTTTTTAACAAAATTACAGTAGAAAAAGTAATTTTTAATATTTGATTTATAAATCTTTTTCCGTGAATTCATTAAGTTTTTTAGTGAATCAAAATAATTATAAGATAATTATTTCTACAAATTTAATTAACAAAAATTAAAACTATTTATTTTGCGTATTAATTAAAGTAAACACCGATCAAAAAAAATAAACAAAATAACTACATTTTTAATATATTTATTTTAATTTATCATATTTGTATATATTTGCCTTAATTTTTTGCCCTACAATGTATTTAGCATTTTTTTTAGAAATCATTATATGTGCAGAAAATACTGAAGATATATTAAACTCAGCATATTTTAAGAACTTTGAAAAATTCGTCAATGGTAATCATTGTTTTTTAAGAAGGCAGTCTATTTTAAAATATTTGCGTTTTGTTCCATTTGCAGAAGAGAAAACAGAATTATTATTTGATATATGTAGAAAAACATACAAAATTCTTAAATTTAAAAAGTACAATTTAATCAAATCGATATTAATACGTACGCATGTTTTGCTATATCTTTGCAATAATTTAAATTTAAAATCATTATTGATTGCTACATTTATGTCAAGACTAAATAATTTATGCTTATTAAATTATGATGGACATAGGACGACGTTGAAATCTCATTGTACACTAAAATTCCAAATTGTTACGTATATCAACGAAGGTAGTATAGATATGAATTATATGAGAAAAGTTGAACAATTAACTGAAGCTAATATTGAAGAGTTGTTAGAATCTGTAAAATCTTTGCCGTTTATTTTAAATATTAATCTTATTTACGAATTAGCTCGTATTACTAACTTAGCTGAAAAAGCTCTTGAAACATATTCTACACCTCAACAAGCTGCTATTTATGGAAATTTTTTAAATCCAAAATTTATTGAAAATGTGTTTGAAGTTAAACATACAGCTACGCATTTTTTTTTATTATTTGATAAAAAGGATAAAAAATTAGATAGGATAAACTTTAATTGTTTTGGGGAAGCGTTAGATATTAATTTTCTTAACGATTGTATTAAATATGACTCTTTTAGAGATGGTCCTGATTATAGTCCTTTTATAAATTTATCTAAAGATTTTGACATTTTTTGTAACGAAACAATAACCTTAAGCTTTGATTTTGCAGATATATTCTTAGGACTAATACAATGCTATTCAAAACATTTAAAACGCAATATATTATTGAGTGTTGAAAAACATGCTAACGATCAAGTAAGTTTACAGTTTATTATTTGTAATGAAATGGAATATGCTAAAAAAATGAAAGAATATTATGCAAGGGCTTATAAAAGTGCACCAGACATTAGTTCTGAAATAGAAAATCTTATAAAAATCGATAAAGTACATGAATTTACGACATTAACAGATCTACATACATATTCGTTTAGACCTAATGGAACTGAAGGGATTGATGGTTGGTTTTATTGGTTAGATTGTGGACATTTTTTAGGATTTGAATTAATTGATGATTTTTTAACCAAATTGGACCATAATTGTCACTTATGTAGGAGGTTAGTGGGTATTAAAATATGTTTTCAACACAAAGCATATAAAGTTAAATAAAGTTGGTTTATACTTTTGAATGAAACAAAAAAATTTACATTATACTTTTTTAAAAATAAATATTTTCTCTTTTTAGATAATATTTTTTTGCCTATAAAATTTAATTACAATTCACCTAAATAAGCGTAATTAAGAATCAATTTATAAGGTAATAAACTACATGATAGAGTAAAGCAGAACATAGGTTTACAAAAATATTAATTAATTTTTCCTATACTTAAACATTTTTATAAAACATTTTTCATCCTCCTTTGCATTTATTTTTAATTTTTGTAATAGAATAAATATTATGTTGAACTTTTAAGACTTAAATGAAAGTAAAATATATTTTATATTACGGCAGCAAATCGTTTAGATTAAACTAAATTTGCGGTTGGTGGCAACCGTACGCTGCTTTTAAAATAATACACTGTTTTTAGAAATACAAAAAAATCAATCTTTTTTTAATTACGTTAACAATTTATTCATTTTCTAGCGATTATCAATATGATACTCACAAATAAATTATATCAGGTAGTCAGAATGCTGTTCTTGCACCAGACCACTTTTTTCTTAAAAATACTTTGACTTGGACCACAGACCTTCTAAAGATTGTTGGCTATCGACGGGCACAAGGAATCAGCAAAATTAATCAAATATTTTATTGTTTTATGGATATAATTCGGCACGGTGTATTAATTTAATGTTTTAAGTGCAGCATTATATGCAAGCCATTCATCCGTTACAATAATTGTGCCAGGCAAAATATTTTCAGAATTATATGTACGATAGGAACTCCTTTCTGTTCTATACAGGCAAAATAAAGCATCTTTTTGATCCAATTTCAATACCTCCGATGTATCGTTGGCCCTTTCTGATGCTTCCTCGGTATTTTTTCTTTTAAAAGAAAGAAATTCTTCAATTTATACAACTTTTGTCACCTCGTGCTCCTCTATTCCACCAACCATAATTTTCTGGGCAGCCACATATTCAAAAATACATTACCCAACCAAGCTGGTTATTCCACTTTGTGTTTACCGACGTATTTTAATTCATATGCAATATCTACAAAAGGTAATTCAAAAAGATACTTATAGATAGCTTTGAAAATGATCTTTACACCAACCCCGAGTAATTTAAAAAGCTACCTGTTCTTACTAAAAATATGTGCATACAAGCCTTTTACAAGCCCAATTATAAACATATGGTGCACCCTTGCGCTTTGCATTAATATTCGGGACTGTCTTAGACACACGCTGTATGTATAAGTATTACCAAAAACCCCAATTTCCATAATGTCGCGTTGGCTGAACTAAATTCTGTAACATATTGTCAACGAAAGCTTTATTGATTGTAATAGCCAAATATCCTCATTACAGTATACTTTCTGCAAAAAATAGGTGGCAGATCGTTGTTTTAAGGTAAAATTCAATTAATCTACCAAATTTAAATATACTTTTATTAAATTTAATAATTGATTGTATTTTTTTTTTGTGGCGCTATTAATATTTTTAGTTTTGATTAAATCAAAACATTCTTTGTTCATACCAATCACTACAATAATCTGACACATTTATTGGTTTGTAGAAATGTGATTGTTTTAGATTGCACCAATAAATTTAAGACTAGAATGTTATGATTATCCATAACACTTGTAAATTCTATTAATATATTTTATAAGCTCTTTTTTATCAATTCGCAATATTAAGTAAACAAATTCATTTTTTATAGATGTATAATTATCTTTAATATGCTCATTACTTCTTAACATTATAAAGTCTTTTAATTTGGTTTTTAAATTCACAGCAATATAAAATATACAGTATGAAAAAGCTTGTCATAGTATGGATAAAATATTATTTTTTTTATAGCTATAAAGGACGAGCACTAGACATTAACCATCAAAAACAATATTTATTTTTTTAAAAAATTAAATAACAATCTCAAATGTGAGAGATATTTTTTAAATAAAGAATTTTAGTTCGATTTCTATTAAATTATATCTTTAGAAAAAATTGGGAATCTACCCAGTAAAGCTATTTTTAGCACAAAAAACAAATAAAGTTGCCTTTTAATTAAATTTGAAATAATTTAAAAATTTTGCAAAAATTTTCATCCTTTTATACTACATTTTGCATTTTAAAATTATAACTTTATAATATTTGAAAGAAAAATTTACAAAAGCAATCAAATTTTAAGTTGTCTGCTTAAATAAAACGCATTAAAGTTTTAAACAAAGATAATGTGATGTTAATTTTTTTATTGTTTGTTTTAAATTTGTATAATTTTTACCCCTATCATGATAAACTATAATATTGTTTGTTAACCTATAATTTTTTAACTAGAAAATAAATAAGATATTTAGGTTACAAATATTTGTTTTGTTGTAATTTAAAAATAGCTATGCTTGCTTGTATGTGACAAATTAAACAATTTATCTTTATAATTGTTTAGATCAGCACATAATTGAAAGAACTTATCATATTTTCTAATGATGTGAAACAAATGTTTAGTTCCTTTTACTGGTGCGCTACAAAACAATGACTATAAATAGCACTTTTAAATAAAGATTAGTTTATAAATGAAAATCAATGTTTGGCAATAATATAATTTTGTTAAATTGGAAATTTATTATAAAAAAAATAGACATTTATGGCAAAGAGTAAAAATATATAAATTTTAAAATTATATTACCAAATTGAAACATACTCTTAAACTAAGCAGTCAAAGCTAGCATGTTTTAAAAAATTTTGGTAAACTTAAGACTTAAATACTATTAAATTTTTTCAGGAAAGAAGACTTTGCAAAGTAAGATTAAATTATATGTCATGTTTAACAATCTTTTTTCTTCAGTTTGTAGAAGCGACGAATGGTAATGTATACTTTGAATTCAATATTAAAGTACCACAGCCATTTTATCACGTGAACGTATAAGATTAACATTTCAATACAACTTACCTTCTAAATGCTAACTTCAAATTGCAAGGCCTGGATAAAAAACAAAAGTTGAAAAAGATCAATAAATAATACCGAAAAAATTTATAATATGTAAGGAAGTTTCATAATCGGGGATAAATTTTATAACAATATTATACATAATATATAAAGGTTTCTGCGGTATTACAGTTATTGAAAATATTTTAAATTTATGGCTTATTGAAAAATATAATCTTTTTCTGTAATTTCGATGGGTAAAAGGTTAAATATTAATAATAAAATAAATTAAAATAATTGATATGTAGTAAATAATTTCACGGTTATAAACAAAAGTTTAATCACACTAAGCTAATACTACATATTTATAATTTTGATACTTATTAAATGAATCCACTTAAGTATGTAAAAAATATGTATATAAATTTAAAAAAAATAATAAATTGTTAATTTAATTTACAATTTATTTAAAGTTGTTATGGTTGAATTTTAATATATTTAAAATATTGGTATCTAGGTCATTAAGCTAACTTAATTTCGAAAAATGTTTAAATTTGGGAAAAAAAATTAAATAAATTTTTGAAAGCTTTAAAGCTGCCTCCTTCTATTCGTTTAAAAATTATAAAAAATCTAAGTCATTGCACTATCTGCAGGGTAGTTTAATGATCCTGATCTAAATATTGCGTAAATATATTTTTTTTAATTTTAAACAGCAAATAATTAGTATACAAGTTTTATAAAAAGTTGTAAAACTAAAATTTTGACAAAAATTGCCATATGAAAGTAAATATATTTCAATATTGTTATGTAAAAAGAAAATAATTATTATTTTCTAAAATCTGTATTATGTAGCGTATATTTTTAATATAACTATTTTCAAATAATTTAATTTAAATAAATTATGTTTTATACCCGCTTTATTACAGCTACTTTTGAAAAATTGACAAGAATATTAATTTTATAATAGAAAAAGATAATAGTAAATTTGTAGATAAAAAAAGCATCTAAATACAAATTTAAAAAAAGCATATACAACAAAAGCCAAAAAATAAGAATGTAAAGATCAAAAACAGACTTCTAGGTCCTTTTTCATTATTTTATAGAGGTAGTATTATTGCTTGTATAATTCCTAATTGTAGTACAGGATTCGATAAAAAAAAACTAAAATATTTATATACAAATTTTGGAAAGTTTTTAAAAAATAATATCTATCTCTATAATCGATGTAATGTTATATTATTTGATCAGGATGATTTCAGTACTTTGCAGACTGTGTAATGTTCCTAATCCCTTTTGTTTTGTGGACAGATAAAATGGGACCAATTGCGAACTTTTACTGAACTATTTAAATATTTTTTTTTTAAGTTTAAAGCACTTTTTTGAAAACCAAGTGGTATAATGACCCTATTTAATTATTTGATTATTTTGATGTACATATTTTTGAATCAAATAAAATAAAAAAAGAACAGTTTTTTTTGACTTTTTTATAAACCCAACTATTTTAATAAACCTAAATAAGAATTACATTGTTCATGTTTGTCAACAATTACGAATGATGAACGTCATAAGTGAAGAATGATACTGCATGGAATATCATAAGCACAGAAAATTCGAAATGTCTAGTAAACAAGATTAGTATAATTTTCTGTGTTAGTTGTATTTCTGCTAAATTACAAAAACTTTATAAATGTAAAAAAACTTAATTTTTACAAAATGTTACCCTTTTTAAAATTGCAAGTCTTGATTTTTATAAAACCCTAGTGTTTAAAGATAAACTTAATATCATTGTGTGGTATTACAGCTACTAAAGATATTTTAAGTCAAATAATTTATTAGAAAATAATTGTTTATCTTCTTAATTCTAACGGATAGAATAAAAATAAATTAAAATAAATGACATGTGGTAAATAATATCACACAATGCTTTTTAATTAAGATAACTTTAATTAGCAATGTCTATATAATTTGAACGTTTTTAATTTTTTGGTGCAATAAGAGAAATTAAAGTTTGTCAAGCATGTTACATTCCATAACTCCTGTCTTACTGCTTACATATATTTTAATAATCATTAAAGTCGTTATATCTTTCAGTATAAATTAACAAATAATAAAGTCTTTTATGTAAATTATCATCTATTGATTCTATACTTATTTCAGCAGCTGTGTTTTTGTTCTTATTTATTAATTTTTCTTAAAAAATTTGGGCTTTTTACTAAATAATTTTTTCTAAACCCCTATATGCAGAAGATAACAAATAATCAATATGTTGTCTTTAAGCATCAAGATGAATGGCAAGAAGGAAGAATAGTTGATTATACGACTTTTGAAAACAAAATTATCTATAATATATATTCACTTAAGTATTGTAAAAGTTTCAGTGTTCAGGAGCATATTCTGATCTCATCTCCTGAAAATATTAAAAGAGTTTTAAAAGATTCAAATGCGGTTAGAATAACAAAAAACGAAACTTTTTTAGAAATTTTAAATTATGATGAAGCACAATCAAAGATTGGATTGCGCTATTCGTGTCTCAATTTTACATTACAAAAAATATTAGAATTATTCATTGCACACTTGATAGATAATAAATTATACTTAACAAAGGAAGAAATATTTTTAAGCATAGAAGGGCTTAAAGATATTATTAAAGAAATACAGGGAGAAATAAATTATAAATTAATAGATGAGGAAGGGGTTATTGGGTGCTTAAAATTATGTTATCTAACTGTCAACTATTTATTAACGAATGAAAATATATTGGAGGTTAAGAATTTCGTTCAAATGTTTTGTGTCTATCTTCTAGATTTTTTACTCGTAAATATTAATTTATTTTATGACAAAAATATGTATATATAAAGATTTGTGACTATTCTTAATGTTTTAATTAATTTAAAAGTCTCTTTTCTTCTTTAGTTGGTTTCAAATATCTTTATTATGTACAGTTTGTGTCAAAATATTAAGACAATCAAAATAATTTAATTTTGCTCTATAAAAACGTATTAAATGTTAAACAAAATGTTTCAAGACATTTTAAATTTTGAAGTTATTTAAATTTAATTATTCTTTAATTGGTTTAAATATAGAATAACTATAATTTTTTTGGTTTAAAAACTAGCGTTAAAATTTTCTATAATACTTAAATAATTGTATATTAATTGATTTATAGCAGATAAAAATATTGTTTTGGTTCTATATTTGAATATAATATTGTAAACTTTTTTAAAATCTTTTTTTGCTTAAAATTGAACTTCAATTCTTTTAACTTAGATTCACACCAAAAATTAAATTTCTTTATTTTAATTAAATAATGTGACGCTTAAATTTTGTTAGTTACATATAACAAAAAATTTAAAAAAATAAGTCAATTTTTTCGAAGAAAAATATCTAAGCTGAAATAATAAAAGAATACTATTATACTTTTGGACCAATTTCAGTTTTTTATAAGATGAATAAGCGTATGATTAATGATTTAAAAAAGGTTGACAAAAATAAAAAAAAGTTTTCATAAAAAATTTTTCGACAATTATTACTAAATACATAAGTATAAAAATCTAATAAGAACTTTAAAAATTAATAAGAGTTTTTTGTTGAATCTATCTTATAATTTTATTGGCTTAACATTTCTTAATTTATGCCTTAAAATCTGATAAAATAATTTAACATTTTGCTACCATAAGAAATTTTAGAATCTTAAAAATGCGGATTTTTATTTTTTTTAAGCTGCACTGTTTCGAACTGTCGGAAATTATCAAAATCTGTATTTTTCACAACTTAAACATTATTAAAGAGCTTTTCCTCCCTTCATCGATAACTATCGAATCTGGTTTATTCAGCTACGTATCTTTCATTTTACATCAAATCAAAGGTGTTTAGATTTGATTGCTTTTACAAAAAATCTATTTATAAATGAATATCTTAGAATAAGGTTATTTTGTGAGTGTGTACCAACAAGATGGTCTAAAAACTCAAAAATCTGTGCTTTACAAAGATTTAACAAAATCAATTATGAAAAGTTGTTTAAAGCTGGAAAGAATAAACTAGCAAACATCAGGGACTCTTTTGCCTAACTAGTATAGAAAAATATTTCGACCGATCCACAGCGATCAAAATTTTCTACATGATGAAAACGTACCATATAAGCAGGAAGAATATAATCTACATTGTTGATCATTTACTTACTAGACAGAATTAAGATTGGATTAAAATTATACAAAAAAAAACAGTGAGATAGCGAGATGCTTTTTATCTTACTGTGTACTAAATATGGCTTTAAAAAGACAAAAAAAAATCGGGGATGCTTAGTAAAGGAGACTATAAAAAATACAAAGCGCAATATAAACGGACTTACGAATTTTTAGAGATTAAAATACATAAAAATAAGGTAAATATTATCTATTTGATAAAAAAAGAAAAAATTTAATAGTGAATATTTTATTACAAATCAGGACCAATCTGCTATAGTAGAAAATGAGAAGCTAAAAAAAAGATAATATTTTTGTAAAAAAATTAAATTAATACAACAATCCTTGAAAGGAATAGTTCTGTTATGTAATGATAAAAGATGATGTGGTAATCAAATACAATAAGAAGTTTATCAACGAGCAAAAATTTAATATTATCTTAAAGTATACACCCCAGTGTATTGTTATGAAGAAGACCATAGAGTCACTTTATTTGCACAACAAAAGCGATGATATGATCAGGAAGTGACAAAAGATATCAGTACTTATCTGAAGGAGATTGTTGAAACTTTAATAACTTAACTAGGGAAAAAAGTCAATAGTACAGCAACAGAGCTTATAAGCATAAATAATACCATAATAATGAGATTTATGAAGAGTTACACTTACAAAATAATAATATTAATTTATGTACTGAAAATCGTCAAGAGTATACATCTCACCAAAAATTTATTAAAAAATTCTGATTTAAATAAATTAATAAAACTGTTAATAGGTTTTTTTTATGCATTTAAAGTTTAAGATTCTAAATTTTTTAAAAACTTAATGAAAAACATGGGGGTTTCTACCATAAATTAAATGATTTTAATGAAATTTGCGTAAAAAAATAAAAAAATAGACAATGATTTTATTTTAAGCGATTTGAAGTAGTATAATGTTGCTTATTAATACTATAATTAAATTTTAAATAAAAGGCCATCACAATATTAATGTATTATAAATTAAACGGCAGCCTAGAATTTCGCCGTGTGGCTAAACTTCTGGCTTTTGTCGACAGATCAAGAGGGCCAATGATAACTTTTCTGCACAATTTTTGATTTTCACCAAAATAAAATTTTTTAGCCCTTAATTTTAAATGTTACAAACTGAAGAAGAATATAAAATTATTTTGAATACCTTTAGAATACGTATTTTAACAAAGGGATGCTGTAGATGTAACTAAAAAATAGTCGATATTCAAAGTAACTTTGTTAGTTGTACTAACAGTATTTGTAAATATAGGTACAGTATATATAAAAATACTATTTTTTATAACTGTAAAATGAAAATTAAAACATATTTAAAAATTATAGATTCGGTTTTAAATTTTTTATCATCGGATTATAAAAGTAAAATTGTTGGAATTTCTAGAACAATGGTTGGTAAATTAATTAGTTAATTTAATAATGATAAATTATTTTTACCTTATTGTCAATCTCTTAAATTGGGTGGTCAAGATAATATTGTTGAAATTTATGGGAGTAAATTTGGAAAGAAAAAGTATAATAGAGGTCATTCTGCCAATGGTGTTTATTTTTTCAGCTGTGTTGTTTGAAAAACTAGAACAACTCTTGTATTCCCAGTGTTAGAAAGAGATCAATTAACATTAACTAATAGCATGTTAAATTATATACATTTATATTCTGTTATTTTTTCGGGTTACTGGAATGGTTATTTTATTTTGAAAAATTACTTTATTATTCATCAGACAGTAAACCATTCCGTGGAATTTGTTAATAGAACTAATAACGTTCATATTAACAATATTGAAGGCAATTGGTCAGGAATTAAGCGCAGTATTTGTTTTAGATGCAGACATTCTCTTATATCAAAATTTATTTATTACGTTTCATGCTATCTAGAAATTATTTTGCAAGCTCTTTTAGATATTTGATAATCTTTTTGTTGTTAACTAAATACTAAAAAAATTGTTTTTTAAGGTTTTTTTTGCCATTTTTCTCTACTAGCTAAAAATTTAAAACTTTTTCTTTGTTGTAACATTTAAAATTAAGGGCTAAAAAATTTTATTTTGGTGTATATCAAAAATTGTGCAGAACAGATTATCATCCTCCATTCAAGGAGAACAGAATTCTGAAATTTCGCCGAAGATTAAAAAGTTAAAAACATAGTTAAAAATAATAAATTGAGCAATTTTAATTAAAATTTTATAAATAAATTATTTCAAAATTTAAAAATTTATCTAATTGTTGTTTTTATTCATTAAAATAAAGATACTCATATAAAATTCGTTTTTACTGTAGATTTTTGCTTTCGCTTTTGATCTGACCACTTCTTTATTTGTATAATTTTTCCTATAAAATCTTCCAATATTTGTTCTGATTTTTGTTTCTAAGCACAAGGCAATATTAATTCTACCACTGTTGTAATTTTTAACATTTTAAAGTTATTAAATTTCTCATGCCTCCTTCCTAAAGAATTATATTTTTTTGGGGACATTTTTTATTTTTATAAAGCGCTTTCCAACAGCTAGTAAAAAACAAATATGGATGAGCCTCGTTGAAGATAAAAGAGTTATTAAAATATATAACAAAATTTTAGTACCGTTCTGGTTTTTTTAAAAGTTAAAGAACAATTTGAATATTATTTTTGGGCCACGCAAGAAAGACTCATGTGAAAACCCAGAGCATTGAATATTTTGTCAAATAAGCTAACTATAATAAATTAAAAATTCATATGCCACGATAGGTGCATTTATAACAAAAACCACCTCACCAATGCCTTTTTAATTTCTGTAGCTTCAATTTCTGATGTCAGAATTTCCTTAGTTCTATAATGCCCCAGAACTTAATAATACATCACTTCAAATTTTTTCTGTAATAAAAAAAATAAAAAATAAATTTTTTAAACACATAACTGTGAAGTAATTATATTTTCTAGTTTTTCTCAGAATAAAGTATAACACTGTAGCAGCAGTCTGTTGCTTATTATAGGTTGATCTAAAACTGAATTTTAGAAAATAATATTTATGTTATTGACAAAGCACGTCGAATTTGAGACGAATTTATGAATATATTAAATGCTAGGCGATTAAAACTGCTTTTACTACTGACTGCTGAATACAAAGGATCACAGGAGAAGCCGGAGTAAATCCTAGAATATAAATAGCGATTTTCTGAGTAAAGGATGCTTTTGAGTAATGAATAACTAAATAACTATTAAATTTCGACAATTTAAGTAGATTTTTATTAATAAACATGTAAGTATAAATGCCCACATTTACATTTATTGTAAAAAAAATCATATTTATTAAACATTTATACTGCGTAATATGGTTAGTCGAATGCTAATTTATAATATTTGTTAGTAACGTCCCATATTTATTCCACAACAGAAAAAACAAATATGTAATCTCAAATCACTATAATTTTACATTTATAAACAATATTTTAATTGTAAATAATTTTTTACCAAATTAATTAATTAAAATAAATTTTTAATATAAGAAGTAAATGTTATATTGAATTTCAAAATAAAGTAGGAGAATTAAAAAAAGTAAAAAGTAAATTACAAGGCTGTATTTACTTCCTTATATAGAAATCAATTTGGTTCTAACATATTGTAAAAATATTTTGCTAAGAAGTTAATCACAATTGTATAAGAATAATCTAATTTAGAAAATTCATTACGTAATCTAACAAATATATTGTTCCTATCTTCATTAGATATCTTTTCAAATAAATTATGCATCCAAAAAATAATTTTATCAAAAATTTCTATTTCTTTATCTTCAACCTTCGCTTTTGCTAGAAGAAATTTTAGATCAATAATATATCCTTTACAAATATTAATAATTTTATTCTCACTATCAGATGTACTATAGGTTGATAATATTTGATTTAAAATACATTTTAAACAACAAGTTGCTAAATAATCATCTGTCTGCTCGGTATAAATACCACTTACATTATAATTTTTATACTCATTTTTATATGCATTACATTTCTCAATCATTCTTTTTCTATATTCAAGAATGTCTTTCCTAGTCAAAAATTCATGCCGTTTATTTTTGTAAAAGTCCAACTTTGAGATATGATCCGATAAATGACTATCACCTGTAAAATTAAACAATACTGACCTAGTATTTAAAAATTTATCAAATTTCGCCAAAAGTTCTTCATTTTCAGTAGAAGTATTTACTATATCATTATCATTATTAAAAAATATATATACAGTATCTTCATGAATATTTGATTCGTCATTTTCTTTTGAATTTGTCATTTTCATTGGTGGGGGAAAGATTATCTTTTAAAATATTTTAATGAAAAAAATAAAATTATTTAGAACAAAAATTTTTATGTTAAAGCCAGTTTTAATAAGCAGATTTTGCACAGAGCAAAAGAAGAAATTAAATTTAATATAAAATTAGATGTGTGATGATGGCTTTTAATTGATGTTTAATTCTAAAATACAATACATGCATAAACAGTTATTAGAACATTGTACGTTTAAAAATTAATTTATTTTTGTTTAAAGTACAATTTAATTTATAGTTATAAAAGAACAAGATTACATAAAATATTGTTATTTGAATATCATGAATTCTGTCAAAGTAAATTAAAAATAATGAAATATATGAAAAAATTATTTTCTTTAATCTTACTGATATTTTTAAAATGTACAGATACATGTTAAACGTATTTTTATGTTAAAAATTAATTAAATGTTTCATCATGAAATAATAGTGTATATCTAAAATCAAAAAATTAAAGTAGTGTTTTGTAGCCTAAAGGTACACGTATAATTTACGAATATTTACTTAGCATTAACAGTAAATTTAAAAAAGCTGTTAAAGAAGATGTGACGAAAAAAATTTATGAGACAAAAAAACATTTTAAAAAGGGCGAGATTAAAATTTATGCAGCAAATTAATTAAAAATGGCCTAATAAATGTAACAGAAATAAAAATAGAAGAAATCCATGATGGCTATAATATACGGGAATAATTAAAGCAAATGCGAATTTATAACGCAAAAAAATTCGAAAACGATTACAAATCGGACAGAAATACTCTAAAATTCAGAACATGCAACAAATTACTAAGAAGGATAGAAAAAAAAATTATATTTTTAATAAATCGTAGAGTTGTTCTCGCTTAAATTTTATCGGAAGATCAAATGACATAGGACGATAGTATCATAAAAAAGTGCTTTAAAAATTATAAAGACCAACACAGCTTCTATAATAGAAAACAGTATTTACCAAAAAAAGCCACTATAGAAAAAGCTGAATAAAAAAAATGCGAGACTATTGCTATTTAAAAATTATAAAAAAATTCATGAAACTAAAGATTTTTTATAGGTAATAAGAAATATTTAAGTTAAAGTATATAAGGCAAATAAACAATATACATAAATGAAAAACGAAATTTGAGGCATGACAACGATTAATTATCTACAG